AGAAGTTCACGTTGGTCGATACCTGACGCGACCAAGAACTTTTTTTGCGACTATTTCTATCGCCTTATTATTATAAATAATTATCATTCTTACTGTTCAATTTTTACGTATAAAATAATAACATTGTAGAAAAACATTATCAAATGAACTAAAAATCATTTTTTATCGTTCTTAAATAATGAATATTCAGTGTAATGTTACCATTGCGATTTGTCGCAGGTACGCGCGAATTAGTAGACACACGCTAATGGTGACGTAAGACGATGTGTGATGCAGCATGTTCCGTCGGAGCATTGAGCTCTCAAGTAAGTACATAAGTTTACTTATCAGGGGAGTAGATTCGCGTGGAAGACGGATGCGATACCGACGGTTTTCTAGTGTCCGCAGAAGTGAGCGGCAACTAAATCGTATGCGTATCAGGAAAGCACGTTCGTGCAGAGGATATGGAGATCATTCAATCTCTCACTCTCACATCAGTTCCGATATTATATAATCGCGACGGCGCGTAACACTGACAATGAGATATCGTCGATATGTAATTCTTTGCGTAGATACGGTAAAAATTAATCGCGTGTGACAGAAATAATGAAAATGAATAAAAAACTAACAAAAATTAAATATTAGATATAAATAAAAGTATAAGACACATATACATATAATGTAATAATAATACACATATGTACGTTTAATATATTAAATTGCTAGTTTTTTTTATCTAGGAGACAAGTCAGAACAGTCGCCGAGACATTTATAATATTGAACACATGAACTTTCGCGTCGATACGCGCATTGTATGCTCGTCGGCGAGTAACAGTGCGAAACAATCGCGCGAGATTCTTTCGTCGCGCGCGTCTCGTGCGTGAGAAAAAAAGGTGAATTTTTATTAAAACACATCGATCTCTGACCCTGCTTTCATAAGACAGCGACTTCCCCATAAATCTGATCTCCTAGTAACATTGACTGGATAACTTTAGTCAAGTGTGACCATCCAGATAAGTGCTGTTAGAAAAATAATCATCGAAATAGCGCATCGCAAATCATCGAGAGTACATATATTCTCGCGCATTTCTCCCGTTTACTTCTCGGGCAATTTAATCAATTACAAGTGTCACGTCACGTTGCACTGTAAAATTGCACGCGATTCAATGCGTCACACGATATTCGGGACGACACAATCTCGCTGTTTTTTCGAACAAAAATATATATAAGCGCACTGTATTTCTAAAACATCTTGCAAAATAAATCTTGAGATACGTAGAATGTAATCTCTTTTGTATATAGTAGAAATTTTCTGTACATAAGATTGTAAAATGCGTGCAGTTGTGTAAGGCGATTTGTTTTTACGTTAAATGATAAAAAAATTGATTATTTTTTATTATGCGTGATGTACGTAAACAATTTAAACATAATTGTATCTATTAAAAATATACATTATATTATATATATATACATATATATATATATATTTTATATATTAAAATATATATATATATATTTTATATATTAAAATATATATATATATATTTTATTATTTAAATTTATTTTAAATATATATATACGGTAATAAGAGTTTTGTGCGTGTACAATGATATTTGTATAAGATACTTTTACTTATTTTATCATGTATAATATTATATATATTATATATATTATATACACACATTTGCGTTTATATTTTATATAAAATTAGTAAAATATATTATATATCTATTTTTTATGCGTATAGTAATTACATGATTGACTAAGATTCTACCAATGAAGCTGCCATTTCGCATGTTTTGCACATTTCTTTGGATATTTCGTTAAACCTGCCAAAATTATACAAGCTTTTCCCTGAAAATTTTTATATATCGAAGCAGGAGAACAGAAATTTACTAAAGTCGCGTGATATCGATCCAAATAATTTCGTGGTCACCTCTTCCATTAAAAAAAAAAGAAAAAATTACATCAACTAGAATATAAAAAATATCCTCTCTTTCTTCGTCTCTGTCTAATTTTAAATGTAGCCATGTGCTTAGACAATCTCTTAAAAACAACAAAACAAACAAACAGACAATAACACATAAACACACAACGTGTGTAATTTACATGTACATTAATTCATAACGCGTTAAATAAAATTTAAATAACATGCGTGTTTGTTTTCCCAGGTGTGGAGATTACAATCGCGACAATCGAAACATAAACATTATTAACAAATGTAGTTTTAAATAAATTGTCTATTGCGACTGTTGTAAAAACAATACAAATTTTTGTCATAAATTCGCAATTAAAAGTAAAAACTGATACTGAGAAGAATTTCATCACGTAACGCACACGCGATGGTTGTTTCTTATGGGCTATACGTTTAAACTGTTTCTTTCTACAACACAACGGCTGTAATAATAAAAGTAACGCGTTAATAACGGCCTCGCTAAGCCAAAGATATTGACAATCAAGTGACAATACATTTCGTGGACGACCAGGCTGGCATATTGTCGGTGGAGCTCCGAGTCTCCCCACCGAATGCACAAAGCATTGCTTCGCAGCAGTAGCCGCAACGCGACTGCAAGGTAGTAGGATAATATAAAATACATTAATCTTATCTCGCGCGAAACACAAAAAAGTTCATCTCTTATCAACTTTCATTGTTTTTAGTACTCAAGTAATGATATAAGTCTTTTTACACATAACAATATTTGCTTTATGATAATAACATCATATTTAATATTAACAAAAAAAATAAGCCTACTATTCTCCAATTCGTTGCACAGTCGCTTCAGTTTCGAAAGCGAACAAGTATCTCTCCTCCCCCGAGTTGCAAATTTTAATTATACCAAGTCAATAAAGTCAAGAGAAAGTTTAACGCTTTAGCCCCTTTCTTAGACTAGAGAAGATTTCAACAAAAGTTTGATTTGATTCACTGAAAAGATATTGAAAACATAGTCGAAATTTTGAAGATTGTGTGAGAAAGATTTAATAGGATTGTTTGAATTGTCTCGCTGTAATAATCGAAAATGATAATCTTATATGTGTAAGACTGATTCTAAAAAAAAAATATAAAACACCCGCTCGTTATACATATTATAATATATATTGTTATTAAATTTATATATATTCTGTGTACGTCTTTTTATTACATCTGAGAGATAAGATTTTAAGCGGCATTAAAAAACTCTTGCGCGAGAGACAATATCTCTTAATTTTCTCGAGAATCAGAACATCGCATCTCCGTACTCCGTCGTTTTGTCAAGTTTCGCGATGGGACGCGATCTCTGAAAGGGCGTAACGTAGGAGTGTCCAGGAAGCTCGACGGTACCAAGAAACGTGACCGACCCGATTGCGGTGAATCTCGGGTGCTCGTTACCCGAGGAGGAAGCGGCTGCTACGAAGTCAGTACCGGTCTGGGTGGAGTCTGTCATGGCATCGTACCGCCTTTGATAAATACTTGGAAACAGGGTAACAGAAGGAGAGCCACGGAAAAAGAGAGAATAAATTATATTCTTATGAAGAGTGAGAAACATAATGACGGATATTCAGTGTGCCTTCAATATAAAATAGCGATAATTGGCTGATATTCAATTGTACAAATTTTTTCTACAATCGCACGTATATATTTATTTATAAAACACACCTTAATTCTCGTGTTAACAATGAGTTATATATGTGAATACCACATATAGATTCTATTAAATATTAACTAAAATATGAAAAGATTTATCAAAGAAGTCAATAAAAAATATAATCTTACATGATACAAATAATTAAATTTATGTCCGTCGTAGCTTTTTAAATCTTTCAATTATAATAAAACTTATTGCGCAGCTGTGTTTCGTGATGTTTCTCCTGGAACGCGCGTTCTGAACGATACGTACACAATACCGGGCTCGAGAAGACACTCGATCCGCTACTGCGGAAACAGAAGAAAGAGGAGGAGCATGCCTCGACCTGCTTCCTCTCCGCCGTGGTGCGCTTATCGAGCGAAGGCATTACGCGCCTCGATCCGACCACGCTCGAGTATGTTCCCCTGCGAACGCAAGACTCGAGTGTGACCCGGCCTGGGGACGTGGGCACGTCCTCGGCGAAGGTCAACGCACTCCTCCGCGCTCCGTCACGATATGGTCCGTCGCGATACGCGTCGCGTGCGCACGTATCGCACATACATACACGTGCCCTGCACACCCTAGCGATCGACGGTTGCCGATGTCGTGGTTTCGCGCGACCGCGAAAATTCTCAACGTCCGCGAACACGCCGCGCCAGGTCTCGCGGACACGTTATCGAGCTCGTGCGCAAGCACACAACCAACGTGCCGTCTCTGTTATCCTGTTACGTTGCGCGGCACGTGGGCATTTTGTTCTAAACTGCGCGATTCTTCCGCGATCGCGGTATCGCGCATCGCAGGACACCGCTTCGAATGTGCGCGGCGCGCTTTCGTGAAAAAACGCAGGGAAAATGACCTTTCTTTCGTATGCTTTTTTTAATCGTACGACGTTTTTTCTTCGATTTTCGTACACTGTTTTAAACTTATATATATATAGCCCGAAGTTGAATATTACATGATTTACACACAAATTTTTTTACTTACATTAAATGTACTTAAATTATATAATAACTAGTAGAATAATTATTCAATATATTTTGTACATTTCCGTTTCTTATATACAAGAGAAAATATGAATAAAATGAAGATACCTATTATACCTCCATTGTGCAAAGTATTATTAACTTGTTCACCATTGTCTTTTTCTATATGCGTGTTCGGTTCATCTTCCTTGAATATATGTTTTCAAATGCGATGTGTGAACATTTGAAATAAATTCTTATACAGAAAACAGATATTTCGTTGAAAGAAAATATAATTATGCAGAACAGCATCTCAAGATACAAACGGCACGGATAAAAATTTGCGAAGGAAATGTTACGGAAAAATGAAATTTGCCGAACGATGAGACCTCTTGCGGCGATGTTCAAAAGCATCGTGTATGATATGTCACGTGACCGAATCGAGTCACGCGCAGGGGCGGCTGACGACGATGGACGTCGATGTTGCGGGCGCAGTATTTTCCCGACAATTTTCTTATAACGTGACAGCTGAGAAATCGCGCGAAGAATTGGCGATTTGACGGTGTGTGACGAATTTGTGTCTTGATATACAATAGGCTCCTTTATAACACGCATTATTCAGAGTTCACTCAATCAAAATGGATAACACAAAAGACGAGAATTTTTGCAAAAAAATGGCAAAAGCTACCAGGGAAATACACTCAATCAGCGATGCTCTTGTAAACGCAAAACTGGCATGTGGTGAGATATTGTAAAATATTATGATAGTAATCTTTTCAAATATTGCAAATATATATTGGATTTAGTTCGCATCTAAAGAGTGCTAGTTAGAGTGACACCAAGAGAGTGATACCAATGTAAAACAGATTTACTTATGAAAGTAGACAAAGATCTTTTTGCAAAACAATAGAAATGGGTTGATATATATAATTTCTCACACACAGTGTGTGATTCACAATGCAACAATGTTCATGCTTTCTACTGCATAGTTTTGTGTATTCCAACTACAGGACTGTTCAACGATTCTATATGGGCTGATGGTCTTCTGGTTTTCTACGAGATCTTTCGTTACCTAGAAGGTGCAATGATTAGATTAAAGAATACAAAGATTGGATTACTTCCTCTCGCCGAGCTTCACCGTACAGAAGCTTTTGAGACAGATCTCGATCACTATTTAGGAAAAGGATGGAGGAAAAACTATAGTCCTAGGTACTTATAATGAGAAAGCTTATACATTTATAGCAATATTACAAAAGCATTTGTATTATATTGTTTTCCTTTGTTTACAATCACAGTAACATATTAGTATTTAATAGTAATTTAATAATTCATTGCCAGATAGAATTTTTGTAATTTTAAATTTAATTTTAAAACAAAACCAGGGAGAGTGTCGTCAAATATCTAATACATTTGAGAGAAGTGGAAGACACAGATCCCACTTTACTGATGGCGTATATGTATCACCTTTACATGGGTCTCTTCAGCGGTGGTATTATTTTGCGCAAAAAACGACAGCTTATGCAGAAAATCTCACCTTTTAAAGGATCAAACAGTGGTAACAACATCACAGACTTCGGAGAAAGTAGTATATATGAATTGAAACGCGACTTGCGTGAATCGATGAACAGAATCGCGGAATCTCTGGACGAAGATATGAAAAATAAACTTATCGAAGAAAGTAAAATAGTCTTTAAATTGAATAATGAAATTATCAGAAGTGTACAGACGGGTGGCAACGTTCTAGAGAGTGTATACCATTTTACTATTCAGCTGATCCGATTTGCATTGATCCTTCTTGTATTGCTTACCAGTTCTTACTTTATTATTCAATATTTATTTATTTATTTAATTAAATTGCTCTCATTTTAACGTCAATTCGTTAAATAAAACTATAATGGACTTTTATTTTTCATCAAAAAAAGATCTATAATAATCTAATGTCAAAAAATATATTAACATGTTATTTTTATATCGTAAATATAATTTTCTCTATATATGAGTAAATTGTGTCTGTATGAAACGCGAATTAAAAGAAATCCTATTTTCTCGAAGTTTGCCGTGTCGTGTGTAAAAAGTAAATTGCTAAGAATTTAACAAGATAGCGATAAATTCTATATTTGTTATGTTCCAGATCTTAGGATACTCTTCTTCCGTAATTAGATACTAGCAAATTTAAAATATAATAAATTCATAGTCTTACCGTACGCATTATGTTACAGAGAAAATTTATGTTCAGATATGTGATAGAATGTATATACAGTATATACATATTGATGAAGATATACTGATGAATATATACAGTATTTCGAGGTTAAATATCCAAACACTAAGTTACATATTAGTTTACATCGGTACCGAATTGTACCAACGTTATACAAAAAATGAAAAAAAAATAAATGTATATCAAACACGTTTCAAACGTGTAACAATCTTCCATACCAAAGAAGAAGACGGGCTTGATTACTTCCCATCAGTCACCGGTTTTTGTTATTTTTTTTTTAAGTTTTGCAACCTGTTTCTACGTCATGTTATACGCGTACTGGTCTGCAACCTTCATTATAGCCTGCCTGTCGAATTTAAAATTGTCCCATGTTTTTGATCGAAATTCAAACGTAAGAGAATGTTGTCCTATTGCGTTGTTCTTCGTTAAAATTTGCCGACTATCGTCCGCATTTACAAATGACGGCGGAATCGTTTTAAAATTCTCTTGTAGTTTACGCGCGGCTTCGTCAAACAAGAGCGCTTTAATGTTCCCACTTGGCAAACTTCTTTGAGAATCTGAAAAGCAATTTTTATCCAATTGTTATTAAAATGTAAAAAAAAAAAGTTATGATTAAAAAAGCACGAAATTCAATGTCATTAAACAGACAATAATATCTACGTTCGAGTCAAAACCAAGTAAATAGCATTTTCAAGGTCAGATTCAAGTAACTATGAAAACACCATTTCGACTTGAATTTATTAACAGATCTGAAGAAAACCTTATTTTAACAATGATTTGATACTTTAAGTTACATAAGCGTACCTTCTTTTTCTGTAGATTGCGCTTTATAACTGAAATCGTTGCATTTAATCGACTGAATTGCAGGATCAATTAGAAGTGTGCATGATTGAGCGGAATTATCCAGCATATGTTTGGCGAGAGACGGGGACATTGTTGACAATTCGCGTTCGCCAAATAGATTTCGCTTAGAAGGTATTTTTGAGGGAGTGTCTTTTTTATTGTCACGACGACCGCGGGGAGAGGTGTTGGCTTGACGACTAACTCTAAAATCCGGAACTTCGTTCTGCACACAAGAAAATACATGTTAGAATTGATTGACAAATAGATAAATTAGGATAAATAAAAAAATATTGATATCATACTTTTACCTGCGGTGGACAAGTGGAAAAATTGTGGAAGAGCGGCTGCTGTTGTCGTTTACTCTTTGCCACTGACTCAGCATCCCCTAACGATCTGTGCCTCTGTCTGCGGGTAGTTGAGACTCCACATTTTTCACGTTGTTGTGTCTCCTGAATCCATCGCTTCATTCGCCTATATAAAAATGACGAACATATATACATAACAATAAATACGATATATATACAATTTTTTTCCAATAAACATAACGCGAAAGACATATGCTAAGAAAATAGATTAACCTAACCTAACCTGACAAAAGGCACCACCATAAAGAATGCATTTGGTCCAACACCGATTTTCTGTTTAGAGGTCATATCCTTCTTGGTGTTAGGCAAATCCGCTATAGTAAACCACTCCACATTCTTGATTTCCTTGCGTGTTTTGGGTTGAAACTTAGTGTCTTTTTGCACACCCGAAATAATGTACAGTCTCACCACTTGATCGTTTATTACAGACTCAATATACTCATTTTTGTCTATCAAATTAGATATATCAAACCCAGTCTCTTCTAACACTTCACGAATCGCACAAAGATAAGGTTCCTCGTCTTCATTCACTTTCCCTTTAGGAAAACTCCAGCTGTGCTTTGCCCAGTAGCTCTGAACCAGTAGCACCTTTGTCATATCTTCATTCAGCACAATTGCCCCAAATGTCGGCACATTCTGCTTGTACTCTCTCCATTGGTCAAGCACAGCATCAATGTACTGCACATGTGGTTTCAAGAAAGGTATATGCTGAAATATATGAGTGGCGAATTCCTTGAAGTTGCACGACTTCAGCTTGGGATTTTCTTCTGTGCAGTAAAAGTCAAGATAAAACCAGTGCGCTAATTCGATTTGAAAGCAAATTCGCACCAAGTCTTTCCTCTCTTCTTCAGGCACATTGATGATAAATCGACTAAAAAAATAAGACACAATATATAGCAAACTTATTAATTCATAAAAAATACAGCAAACTTATCAATATTGTTCTCTCATAGAATCATCGTTATTTAACGTTCTTTGGCCGAAACTAACCTGCTAAGATCGTCGAGAATGTCAGATGGAATCGTATGCTCCATTGTTTTTAAACTATTACTTTTTATCTTTTAATCCTTTGATTTCTTTTAATGTATCCAACACCGAAAATTAAACGTGTAATAATCCAACGCTTTATCTTATTCCGATAAACAATCTTGGAAGTTACATCTGATTAGTTTTTTATATACGTTAATACAGATCTGGCTAGATCTATATATAATACCAATTCACGCTAACTGGCGTACTACGCTGTGTGTATATTACGTGTTTTTACCTTTTAAAATGGATGTAATCCACTTGTGACTTATATGTAAGTACTTCAACAAGCTGTAGCTTGGAACATTTTGCATAATGGTTGCGTTCAGCAGAACTCAGCAAGCGCGCTTTGCGATTGTTGGTTATTATTGGCATATACTTTCATATATATGACAGATTTACAAGAAGAGACCAATCACAATAGGCGCAAAGCGCTTGTTAAAGCGCCGAGTTCTCTGGTGAACGCAGCCATTCTGTGTGCTTTGGATTTTAACATGACAGATTTTCTAGCCTTGAAATTTATCGTTTTTAACTCTTAATTACTGCTTCCGCAAAGCGTAATAACAATTTCCATCTTTCAAATCTTATGTTTAGCACGAAATTGAGCGTATTTTCGCAAAATTTCAGGTGAGGAACTCGAACTGCAAATTTATCACAACTTGTTTTGAATTTCGCGAACTCTTACTTCTCTGTTTTTGTCGTCTGTTTTTTTCTGCTGCTTCTTAGATATTCTTTGTAAATCTACTAAATTATATTAATTGTATAATTTTTTGTATAAAAATATTTAATAATACTTTGTTTTCTACAAATCCAAAATATAAATTAGGCAGTTACTTTGTTTTTTTATTTTGAAACAGGAGTAAATGATCATGTATTATCTCAGTGTTATGCGGCTTAGGCAGTCTATAACGTTAAACAAATGTCTGATGGAACAATGTTGGAGACAGTATTTGTGCCCGACCAGACTCTATGTCACAGGAAGAAACAATCACAAAAATGGCGTTAATTATAATAATACAAAACAGCAATTGTCGCGAAGAAAAGCATTACGAATGCGAATACTGCAAGATTTCAAGCATACAAAGAGAAAAGTAGAAGAGATTATCGAAAGAGAAAATATCTGGACTGTTCCCAATGTACTTTGTATAGGTCGTATTGTGACTTCGCCATTTTTAAGCTATTTGATTTTGTCACACGATTATCAGGTATGGCTTAGCTTGGTGAGACAAAAAGATATAAATTGTCTAAATAACAAAAACAATTTTTCATACTATATACTCTAAATAATCATTGATTTATTTTCTTCTGCTATGGCGCAGATAGCGCTATGGCTACTTGCTTTCGCAGGACTGAGTGATCTGGCAGATGGATGGATCGCACGTACATGGACATCACAAGCATCTAAACTTGGAAGTTTTTTGGATCCTGTCGCAGACAAGTTACTAGTAGGAACACTGTTTCTCTCCCTAGCTTGGGTTGGTTTGATACCGGTTCCTCTCACTTGTCTTGTTATTGTACGTGATATTGTTCTAGTAGGAGCTGCATCTTATATCAGATATCGTTCCTTACCTCCGCCGGTGTGTATCAAAGCATTTTTTGATTTATCTCATTAATAAAAAATATCTTAATTAAAATTAATGTCAACATTTTAACATCGTTTCCAGAAAACCTTGGCGAGATACTTTGATCCCACACACGCTACTGTCCAATTAGCGCCAACTTTAGCGAGCAAACTGAACACTGGAGTGCAGTTATCTGTAGTCGCTGGAACACTAGCCGCTCCGGTTTTTCACTTTGTAGATCATCCCTTGTTGCAATTTCTCTATTATTTCACTGCATTTACAACAATCGCGGGAGGTGTCAGTTACTTGTTGTCAAAGGATACATACAAATTATTGAGGAAAAAGAATTCAACACAAGTATCCCCTTAGCTTGAACATTTATTTGCACACAACATTTGTGTGTGTGTGTGTGTATGTGTGTATATATATATATATATATGTATATTTGATAAATGCATGTATTTGATGTATTATAATGCATAAATTTTTAACTACAGATTATGAATAATTCACATTGTTTTTGTACTATTGCTGTTATAAAAATTGTATATAAACATATGTAAAAATGTAGTTTTTCTTTTTCAAATTTTTTACGGAAAAAAACATTAAACATTTACGATTAACTTAATCGATCAATTCTGTTAGAATAAACCAATTGCATCATTTGATTGATCAGTGATAATTGATGTTTAATCGGAGATGGTACATTTAAGGAATTATAAAGACGGACTGATGCTTAAAGCGCGTAAGCGACTTAAAAGCGAACGCACTTGTAGCTAGTCTAAACCTAACCTAACCTAATCTAACATAACCTTATCCCTAATCTAACCTAGCAGTTTAAAAGCTGCAAGCAAAAGTATGTAAGCAACTTGAAACACCAATATGATTGTACGCGTATTTAAAACAATATTGACAGACTTTACAATCGATAAAAGACAGTTGCATACAACCGCAAATCTATCGTGTTTTTATGTGAGAGATCGAAAATACGGTTACAAAAAATATGACAAACCACCACCGGAACCTGAGAAGTTGAGCGTCTTTGGCCAAATGCGCGAAGGATGGCGCAAACTTAAAGAAGAATTCGGTCTTTGGATAGAAGAAATGAAAGAAAATTATCAAACGGATCCTAGTTTGATATACAGACGAGGTGAGGTCGATGTTGTATGGCGATTCAAGGATGATCCGAAATCGCTGGATCAGTGGATAGTAACATGTGACAGTGATTACAATGAAGGCTATTCGACAGCTAAGTAAGCGTAATTAATATGTAAACAATATCAGTACGTGATAATCATAGTTTTAGTCTGTCACGTCCACTCAACAATTGGATTATGTTGTTTCAGATTAGAAATGTCTTCCATTGGCACAGGTGTGTTTTCTGGTGTGCTGAGTAATCGTTTGCCCAAAGATGGCAGACTAGCCTACGCTGGCTACTGTAACATTACCACAATACCTAAATACAAATCTTTTAACCGTGAGGCGGCTTACGATTGGTCGCCGTATACTCATCTTGTTCTCCGTATCAGAGGGGATGGCAGGTGTTATTCGCTGAACCTTTCTACCAGTTATATATTTGATCTGACTTGGAACGATATGTATCAATATGTATTTCATACCAGAGGTGGTCCATATTGGCAATATGTCAAAATGCCATTTTCCAAATTTGTGTTTGTTAGTAGAGGCAGGATACAGGACAATCAATACTCCATTATGCTTAACGACGTCAAGAACTTGGGCATAACATTAGCAGATGATGTTTCTGGTCATTTCAGACTGGAAATCGATTACATTGGTCTAGAGCATGATATATATGAATATGAGGAGAATGCTTACGAAACTTATGATTTTAAAGGAGTCAGATTTTAATTTTCTTTATGTATATAGAAAATTCATTGTACATATGTATAATAGCAAGAAAATAAACTTGTATATAATTTATTAGTGAACAAGTCTATTTATGTCGAATCTGAAAAATTTATTTCAACATCATAAGGTAAAACTATATCAGTCTCTGAGATAACAAATTTTTTAATTATTTATATACTTGCAAGTTGAAAATATTGGAAAGCATTTCATTGACACGTGGCAGAAAATATGTCAGATAAATAAACAAAATTGTTGAATCAATCTTAAAAAAAAAGTAATATACATGTATGTAAACAGTAGATTTTGTATACAACGTTACAGAAAACTACTTTTTTCTTTTCTGGATTAATTACTAACGATCACGGCGCAAGCCCGAAAGTGTCGCTAGTGAGCCGCTCTGTGTGGCCGCAGGAGTTTTGTACATGAGAATCCCGTCATTTCCCGTGTCAAACGCCAGTGTCCATACTTGTTCCCGTCGCGTTTCTAACGGACTCGTAGAAAAAATGGCGACGGAGGAGATTGACCGTGCTAAGGTATAAACATTTTTCTTATTTATACACCGGCCCTCCCGTTGACTTTCGTTTAATTTATCTTCCACGGAGGAAAGGCGCCAGAATTTTGCTTGGCAGCCAAAACGTGCGTGTGTGTCTATTGTTGAAATGTCTATACAGTTCTCCGCGTGTATGTTTACACATTACTAGAAAAGTTCATTTCCGTTTGATAACTTTTTATCGGTAAATAATTGAAACTTGAGAATGTGGATGAGTTAAAAAAAAATCAACAACAACAAAACTACCGCACAACTAATTACTGTACATCATCCGTGAACGTTTTTATGATACGTGCTGGAATGTACACCGATGTTCCGATTGTACAATTATGGGCGTAGTATTTCCTCTTCTCTAGCATCTTTCGTATTTTTATATTCTCTCTGTGCGATAAATTGAAGTTTCTGCATTTAATTTGTTTTATATTTACCCTTGTCAAGCATTTGTTTAGTACTTATTTATATATTTGATCATTTATTTCCATTTGTTTATGTTTGTCACACATCCTGTGTTGAGAAAGAAGAAACTATTAGAATTGGTTTTGCTTATTCATCTACTTGCAAAAACAATTTGTGGCTTTCTTGGATTTTGTGGAGTATTATCGATGCATAATTTCTTTGTTGCTAGATTGAAGCTATGCTGCGTACCCTGAAACTGTCAGGGCATGTGGGATTTGACAACTTACCCAGTCAGTTAGTGAACAAATCAGTACAAAATGGATTTGTATTCAACATTCTTAATATTGGTATGATGTGTTAACATTATTGTATGTTTTTTGTCTTTTTACATATTAAATTGATAATTAATATTGATTTAATTGATTCTGCAATATGTGTATTTACATCTCATTTTTACTTTAAATAGGTGAAACTGGTCTTGGAAAATCTACACTTATGGATTCACTCTTTAACACAAGCTTTGAGTCTAGTCCCAGTCCGCATAATTTGCCTTCTGTAAAACTTAAAGCACACACTTACGAACTGCAAGAGAGTAATGTCAGACTGAAGTTAACTATCGTTGACACAGTTGGTTATGGCGATCAGATCAACAAGGAAGACAGTTTTAAGGCAGTTGTCGATTACATAGATGCGCAGTTTGAAGCTTATCTGCAGGAGGAATTGAAAATCAAGCGCAATCTTGCAACTTATCACGACAGTCGCATCCATGTTTGCCTTTATTACATATGTCCTACCGGCCATGGGTAATTATACACTGACATCGTACACATTGCATTAATTAGTGGTACATTTTGCAAAAATTCGATGTTCGTTTACACTTTTTGTAGTTTGAAGTCCATTGATTTAGTGTGCATGAAGAAACTAGATACCAAAGTTAATATCATTCCAATTATTGCTAAAGCTGATACAATATCAAAGACTGAATTACAAAAATTTAAGGTACGTATACATAGGAAAGTTATATGAAAATTATTTTAATCTATATACACGCGCTAATAATAATCACATTTTTTTATTTATTTATTGTTTTTAGAGCAAAATCATATCGGAATTGCAAAACAATGGCATACATATTTATCAGTTTCCAACTGACGATGAGAACGTGGCTAACGTAAACGCTTCTATGAACGCTCATATACCCTTCGCCGTCGTTGGCAGCACCGACTTTGTTCGTGTAGGTAACAAGACGATGCGTTCTCGTCAGTATCCCTGGGGTACGGTTCAAGGTAAGATTGTGAGGTCGTAATTATTATTTAAGTCAAAAAAGAAAAAAGATCCGAAGATGTCAAACGCGATTGAAACATTCCAGTCGAAAACGAATCTCACTGCGATTTTGTGAAACTACGTGAAATGCTCATAAGCACTAACATGGAAGACATGCGCGAAAAAACTCACTGTCGTCATTATGAACTTTATCGAAAGAAGAGATTGGAACAGGTATATATTTTTTTTTCCTTTTTTTATTTATCTGCGATTTTATAGACGTCTTTTTTCCTATATTGCTGCTTATTTGTATAAATTATCAGATGGGCTTCAGCGATGTCGACAGTGATAACAAACCTGTGAGTTTTCAACAGACTTGTGAGGCCAAAAGATCCATTCATTTGCAGGAATTGCAGCAGAAAGAAGACGAAATGCGACAGATGTTCGTCGCCCGAGTGAAAGAAAAAGAAGCTGAATTGAAAGAGGCAGAGAAAGAGGTAACAACAATATTTCTTAAACAAATATCTTTAAACGTCATTTATATTGCAAAAACATTAGTTGTTACTGCTTGTTTTTTTCTTATCTTTTAGCTTCACAGTAAATTCGATAAGCTGAAAAAAGATCATACAGAAGAGAAGAAAAAATTGGAAGAGAATCGAAAGAAACTTGAGGATGATATACAGGAGTTTGCTAAACGAAAACAACAATTCACACAACAACCGCAACATCATACACTAACGTTAGGTAAAAGCAAGAAGAAGTAAAGATTACTTCATGATCAAGAAACGTCTTGTTACACCATTCGAATATGATCGCTTGTTCCACTTGCATTCTCTAATGCAATTGTGACGTATTCGAATAGTATAAGAAGATTCTGTACATGTATCTTGATTATATGATTTTTGTATTATTATAGTATTATATTTTATTATATAACAATTCAATTCTTATATATACCAAAAATGTTCACATGAAAGCATGTGCTTTGAGTCAGCATATGATTTAACTTATATACGACTCCAATGAGAAAAACAAAAAACAAAAAAAAAATATTTAACGAAACATTTATTTCTACATTGATTTTTAATGTATTCGACTTTATATGAGATATATATTTAGTACGCAATAAAACATCATACCTCTTCTTAAAACGGTGTTATTCATTAAAACCTATTGATCTTGTTATTTATTATTTGTGTAATGTGTTTTACACAGAAAGACAGAAAGGCTAATGTCACTCTCTTGAGATCGGAGAATCAAAAAACTTCGTCATTGTCAGATGTTTTTATTGTTCAACAAAGTATAACAATTGACATAATTAGTTTCGAACTCAAGTTGTAAGATATTGCTGTGTACAGTATAATTTGTATTTTTTTTTTTTTGTGTTAAACAAAATCTTAAAACAAAGTTCTTAGTTCTTATTACGAGTGAGGCTAAACATATACATTGTAATGTGATTACAATACTGATACATTGGCCTGGATCATTACAACAAAACAGTATTCAAAAGTGATCTTCTAAAATGCACGATCATATTATCAATTGGACATCTCTTATGTAAATAATCTAACTAAATTAAAAACATTTTAATATCATCAAAATACAGTATTTTATATATGTATATATGATTGTAATGTTAGCATATATATCGAAAATGCTCGAACGTAATTTTTAATAAAATGACGATAATATATATGTAAACACAACGTATAATTATTACTTATGGGAAATGTAGCTTTTTCTTATATTACGTAAACTTCGCTAATAAACATTAACGCAGTATAAAGCAGGTACAATTAACTTAATTATTTGTCGATATGTGTGTAGAAAAAAACTGCGCGTTATACATATGTATATATATATATATTTACAATAACGTAATATGGCGAAATTAGTTTAATTAGGCAGGGCGGTTTTTATAATTACGCGCGTACAAGTAACTTCGCAAATAATCATATTTGTTTATTTAAACGCAAGGCCCTGTATCCAGTAATAATAGCTTGCTAAAACTCTAAGTTTCTTGCAATTAAAGTGCAATTATTATTCATAGCTTTCGCATTGACTCTACTCGGCAAACTGATAATTGAATGCCATTTAAACTGATCGTTTATAACACATAAAAGAATTCGATCTACGAAACAATCACAATCCTTCGACGCAAACGACACAAAACGGATCACGGATGACAACTCAATTAGCTTTCAACGAGCCGACATTACTCGTCGCGTGTTTCTTTGCTTTGGTATTCCCTTGCTCATTATGCCCTTGCACTTCTGTAAGCGGAATAATTATTAATGGTTTAATGGATCTCTCTTCGACAAATATACGCCAAACTCCTCCTACATTTCTTACTCTAGAATTTATATAAAAGTACAAAATGTGTTTTTGTATATTATTATTATTATTATTATTATATTATCATATGTGTGTATCGCGGCAATTATTTTGAAGCACTTAACACGTTAGCCGATTAAATATTAATCGAATACGAATATTATTAAATTTGCATTGAATATTAATCGAATACGAAAAGTGCGATGAGATAAATTTCAGGGTCAGCTAAAATATTGGTTAGTTTGATAACAGTCAGAATAAAATAACAACACATACGTGTATATAATAATAACTCAAATTTGTAAGACATATTCTTGTGTACAAACACAGATATGTTAGTTTGTTGGTAATAGTTACATGATTTTCGTAACAATTGCCAAATTTCACGAATGTCTTAAATTTCACGAATATATACACAAAAGTTAATAAAAAAATATTGCGTGTTCAATAATACATTGTTTCCTAACAACAATTCTTAAATCGAAGATATATGTGTACATATTGAACGTAATTATATATATATATAAAAAAAAAAAAACTAGAACATTTATGCATGTATAAGCCGACCCCGCGTGATTAGTATATAAGTGCTTGATCGCGTGCTCGTCGCAAAATAGTGCGCTGTAAGAATATATTGGTTTGTAGAATATAGCAATGACCAAAACAAAGTTAGAAACCGGAGTGTTTAAAAGCTCTGTTTTTAAAATATTAATGAAAATATTATAACAATTATTAATCGCGCTATGCGTATCCAGTTCCGGCTACGAAGACTTCGTAAAACTGATACTACGCGAGATGATTATCAGATCACGGGAAATCAATAAAGATATCTCTCTACATCGATACGAAGATAATTAATAAAAAAAATCTTATTAATAAAAAGATTAATTGATATTCTTTTTAAGGCATGACATGTTCTCACACGGACGATTTTCTACCTGAGATTTTAATTGCACTTTTATCTTGTTTATTGCACGTATGAGCGCGTTTGAGCTTAAATGGATATTATTCGATTTCAAATGGATGTTAAAAATTACCATTATTATCATTATTATTATAGTAGTATAATGGTTATATATGATATATAGTTTCGAAAATAACGTTTGGTCATTGCGATCTTAACATTACCACTACCGGGGTGCACGTCACACTTTGTGAGTGTTGCCGAAGGATCTCCGGGTAGACGCGGTAACGTTATTCAATGCCTGAAGTGATAATCTAAGATAGAAAGCTTATCGTTTCAATCTCCCAGAGGAAGTACCGTCCGACTTCGGAGGTACCGCCGTGCGGAGATGCCGTCATGCGGAGAAGTCGCCGTCGATTAGAGGCACTTGCCGTAGTTCGAAGATACCGCCGTCGATCGGAGGTACCGCCGTTGTACGGAAGTGCCGCCGCAATCCGACAATAATAAGTAACCAAGGCTCGTACAGCACAGAGTCCAAATCTCAGATATGGTACCCTGGCCATTCGTTTATCGCCGCTTTCTTACGCGGGGATATACTTCGACACTTCGTGCTCCCTCATATCAACCATCTGTCACGATGTAGTAAAAATAGTGATCCGTGTGCGTCTCTACCATATAACCGACATGTTACGCGTTATTATTACGTATAGCGAACATTTATGCACTTGACAACTTGGGCGTGGGCGGGTGCGTGTGCCGGTGATCTCGGTGTGACGAGAACTCGCGCAAATTGAGTACAACACAACTACATATACGAGTGATCGGAATGTGCACGAATATGAATCGCGAACTTTTTCGAACTTAACCCGGTGCATTTATTCCCTCAAAATCGTCAACTCACCAATCGGTAGTTGAAAAGAAGGAATGTACAACATATCGTGCGCGCGCGAGAGAAACGCGCGCGGAATTACCCATCATCCTTGCGGTAACTTAATGTCACCGCGTTGCGACGTTCAACAAAAAAACCGGCTGCTGATCGCCCGCGACTAAAGTACTCAACGAATTGGCGTAATCGAGGTGTGTGCTCTTTTTTTGGAACGTGATGAGATTGCAACAGCGGTGCGACAGATGATATGCCAATTCGCACTTGCGCCATCACAACGGCCGCGCCGCGCGAGTGTTTCGCGCGACACGGGAAGCCTTCGCAGAAGGCCGTAATTAATTAGGCACGTGCTCTTTAGGCCAGCGACCGACGTGAGAGACTCGTCTCCGACGGTGAACTGCGGTACTTGCCGCGAATGTGCAGGAAGCTGTCGTGCTTAGTGCTGCGAGCGGGTGGCAGCATGCTCTCGCGGTTGAGGACCCTCACCTGACAGGGGTCGTGCCTCGCCAGGAAATGCTCCAGGGTGTCCCACCCGCCGCCCACTCTCACCATCATGTGTCTCCCCTTGAGAAGCTGTGAACAACAACGTCAGCGGCGCGATCATTAGCGGCTGGCATCGCTCACGGTGCCTACGTTAGGAATAAAGGAAAAAAGAGAGGCCACTCGAGATTTAGGAAGATCCTTCTTAAATCGAAACTCTCAAGTGACTGAACACAACTCAGCGGTATTCGAGAAGTTCCTCGAAATCGAACGAGAGCATTTTGAGAAACAAGAATTTTATTTTTTTCTCATATATTGTATTATAAAATTCTTGTAATTATTTACTTCTCGATATTTTTGCTGTTTTTCGAAATATTATTTTTTTGAAAATTATTTAAAAATTATTGATGTAATTGTAATAATTTTATTCTTTTTGCGTAATGTAAAATATACGTACTCTGATGAAGACGTTACGTCCGGCAATGTGATAGCGACCTTCGCCGACCTTGCGCACCTTCAGCTTGGAGCATTTTTCCGACGGGCACTGGCAGAGTCTCTGAATGGCCTCGGTAGCTCTTCGCACCTGTGTACAGAAAGAAGCACGCGATGCGAAAGAAATCGAGAGAACGCACTTGAAACACGAAGGTATGTATATTTAGATGGACAAATTTTTTGTGTGTCTTTTATTGTCGAACGAACGAAAAACGATCGAATGTGTCACGCGAGATAAATCGTCGCGACGTGTCGTCACAAAGAACCGTCGGTGTGCGTGTAACTTCCGGCGCTAGACATGCAGGAATCCGACACGCGCGCGTATATACGTATAGATGCGTGTGTGGAAAACGCGCCACGAGGAAACGCCGATTCCCATCGCGTCCCTTTCTTCCTCGTGCATTTTCTTCCTCTCGCATGATAATGATTACAATGCAGCTCTCGCGACCATATAAAGACCCGTAGGACCAAGGTTTTCTCAACGACGACACGCACGAGATACGCGAAGATACGCGACTGAAACACCGTGCGACGGAAAACACGTTGGTGAAGCACACATTAACAAGGAAGATATAAATTATTCACTTTTCCGTTATATACATATGCAATTTTTCCACGAGCGACAAGAAACGAGAAAACTGCGTCTCCGCGTTGTGCGTTATCACTTTAATCTCTATAATGCTGAGAATTATTTGATTCCCAAGAGAAAACTTAAAATTCACGTTCCACAATTCGAAACGCCACAATTACCTTGCGATCGAGTTCTGTTATCGGACCAGTGTGTTCCGGCGGTTCCGCTGGTGATGGAGGTGGCGAGCTCGACGGAGACGGTACTTCGTCCGGATCCTCGGCGCTTCCGCGGGACCAATCGTCCTCGGTGGTATCGCTCGGAACGCCGTCGCTTCCAGTCGGGCCGTTGTCACTAACGGATCGTCGCATTTCAGGTTCGTGCGTAGCGCCAGTCACCGGATCCAACCATCGAGCGGCCGTCGCCGCAACTTCCGATGCCGAGCTAGAATATAATAACTTGCGATCTACATCGAATCTTCTTGCGCAGAATATCGCGACTCTTTCCGAAATATTAGCAACGGAAACACGTGTCTTTAAACAGTCAAAAGATATTATCATCGGGAATGTAGAATTAATAAAGAAAACATTAATTAATTTAAACACGACGTACATAAAATAAAAAATAATGAAATTTATAATACGGACTTTACGAACACAATAAGAAATATAGTCAAAACAGTGGAGGGATGGATAAGCTTTATCTCAAATCTAAGCAGTTCAGTGGGAGGAACGAGAACGCTATTTCCCCGATTATTCAGAATAACACAATGCGCAGTGGTTATCACCACCGCCTTGGGCATCGTACTGTAAAATTCAGCCACTCCTATAGAATTGCGTTATAACGCGACTCTCGAGGTCTCTTTCTTGGTAACACTACGCGGAATTGTCTATTCGACTGAACGGTCGTTAACAACGGTGAAATTCTATTGTCGTAAACACAAGCTGGAATATATCAGGGAATTCTGGACACAATTTATTTTAAATGCGGAGCGCGCAAGCGAAACAGAAAAATATGCGAAGCGAAATAACTTATACATTCCGTAACGGTCGAGTTTCGGTTTCTTATCGCAATCTCATCGCTCGTCGATCCGTTATTTTTTGCAGATGAAAAGCACTTAAGGTCGGTCGCAGGGATCGATGGATTTGGCGCCGGATCGACCAGACAAACCGTCATTTTGTCGGTTCACCGAGGACAGATCGTCATTTTAAGTATAAAAACTTAGTATTGATGCCAGCTTATTTACTTATGTACCTGCTGTGTTTAATCTTCTCCTGCGGCGGTCTGGGCGTTTCGGTCGGCGACGGCGACTGGAATTGCCAGGACATTAGGCTGCTGTGAGATATACCGCTGTCAGACAAACAGTGAAGATCCCTCTCTTGTTCCGCTGCGATTTCCCTCTCAAGTTGCACAAGTCCGGGTGGCTCTAGAGAATATTTAGCCGCCAGTCGTGCGACCTCAAGTAGACATAGCACCACGTTTCGTGGTTGGCCATGCAAGACTGTAAAGAAATTTAGCGAAATATTTGCGAATTTAATTTAATAAAATTATTTTATTTACGTTTTCTCAAATAGCGTTTAGAGTGTAACTTTGATTAATATTATTTTATTTATTTAAATATCATTATTTATGCGAAATAGCGCATATACTATATTATTTAGCATTTTTTATTATTTATTATTCATTAAAATAATATCTTTGACGCTTTTTTTTTTTTTCTTTTGACACTCCTGCGAGAGCACAGTGAGACTTTAACGCGTTAAGATTTTCAAGATTTTACCTTTTCAAGGCCGTTACGCTCAATTGCATAATTACGTCATTTACGTAACTGCGCGAGCATTGTTTCCGACGGCAATTAAGCCCGGTCAAGTGAGAAAGCGCGCGTCGATCTCTGAAAACCCGACGCGGATTCGCTCCACTTTCCTCGGAGCCGCGCATAATCCGCGCAGCAATTACTCTCGCTTAGCAAGCGCCGCATCGGATTTGCATACCTCTCGCGGATCCGCGCAATTTATGCGGCACACGTTTCTACACGCGCGTCCATCGCGAGGATTGCGCGAGTCAATTACTATGTTTCTCCTAATTGCCGTCTATCAACTTGAGCGGAGTATACGCATTCAAATCGCGTCTCGTTGAAAGTCGTTCGATGTAACAAGCGAGTCCGCTTCTACTTAATTCGCATGGGGAGTTAAAATTAATCGCGCCGAGACTTACCAAGATCGTCGCTTTCGAAGAGGAGATTCTCGTGAACACCGAGCCGCCGGCAGAACTGTATGAAGTTTTCCATGTTGTCGCGGGAGAAGAAACTGCGACGCGCAGCATTTTCCCAGCAACGGCCGCGTATCACCGGCACTGTCTGCCAACACAACACACATTTTTTTTCCTTAAATTTAATTGTTGTTTTAATAAATTGTTGTTTATAAAAATCGCTCAATCGCAACTTGTTCTATAATATTGTACAAATTTTTGATAATCTGACGCTAATCTCTTTTGTGTATACAAATAAAATTTCTAAAGAAGAAATTTTTTTCTGCTAGTGCAGAGATGAATTGCACAGATAGAATACGATCGATGAGTATGTTTACCCCTTTTGCTCGTCCAGCTTCTATCGCAGATCTCGCCTTTTCCTGAATAACTCGTGCCAGTCTACAAACGATCACGCCATTATCGAGCACGTCGAAGAAATTGTCACCCGTTATGTGATCTATATCTGTAATTGGAAAATAAAATTTAGCTGCATCGTTGCATGCGCAAGTATTACATATATATAACATGTAGGCGCATATGAGTATCCCTTCGATATAAATTACAAGCGTCTTTCAACGATACTCAAGTGGCTCGATGAAGCGGCACTTTATAATAAAAGTAACAGTCGCCCGCAGCTCTCTTATTCAGATTATTGCGTACTCTATCACTTTTTTGATACATATATAAACTCAGTACCGCGTATTGATTTTGACATTTCGTCAATAAACATCATATGTTATATACAATTAACTAAAGTTTGTAGCAAAAAAAAAAAAAAAAACTCAAACTACATCGTTGAAAATTGTTGAGAATCTTGCTAAATCACGTTAACAAAAAAAACAAATGTTCGATATAATCGATCGACAACACGATCGCGAGGCAACGCGCGTTAAAGTGTACCAGACGCAACGGTGACTCGTTCATGTATCGAATGTCGATCAGCGCGAGCCGGTTTGGTCGGTCGAAGAAGCCCCGTCTCCGATGAAACAGATTTACCTCGAGTGATCGTGCAGTAAGTTATTTATCAGTAGCACGCGATGCTCAAGGACGACGCGTTTAATGACGATCGCGGGGATCGGCGACTGAAGAAACAATGAAATCGGCTTAGAAGTCGAACCGGCTGATTCATCGTCTGCAAAATTCTGCGATCTCGACTTTCGTCACGTCTCACGATTCCCCTTCCCCTCTTAAAAAAAAAAAAAAAAAAAGGTGACACTCTGGAAACTGCATGTCAGCCGTCGACGTTGATCCACGGTGACACGGCGGGTCAAGCGAGAAACAGTCAGGTCGCGATACTCTCACGATAGACCGATTTATGCGTGACTATAAAATCGCTTTGGTTTCGTTCACCGCTGTAGGTATATACCGCCAGATCAAGGACACACGTTCCACTTTTCCGAATAACAAAACTTTCCACACACTCTACCCGTAGAAAACAAGATCTGATGCATAAATAATGACACTTGTGACTTTCCCCGAAAAAAATAAGATTAACCAAGCGGGATGTTTTTCGATTTCGAACGAATATTACAATTGCGAGGTGTTTCATCGTACGCCCATTCGAGATATTCCGATGTAATCTCTCTCACTTTTCTCGACAAGGTATAGTTCTGATTTTCTCCGCGGAACTCCTTGTTTTCCATTCTCTTCCTTCTCCCCCTTTTCTTCATTTAACTGCAATGTGTGCATTAATCACGTTTGATTCGAATCTCCGGCCCGTGGTTTATTAGTATATATAGCTTCTTATTAATTACTGCGCCGTCTCTTCCTCTCGCGCGCATTATGCGTCTTCCCGATGCGGATTCTAACAAGAAACCTTTATCACGGCCTGACAAATCGTCTAATTTTCCTCGATGAGGCCGATTCCAGTCCCATTCTCTTCTCGTCCAGGTTCCCCGAACACGTTCGTTAATCAAGCACGTTTAATCCGAGTCTATGCTCACCATTAGCCACTATCTATTACCGTCCCGCATTATCTATTGCCATCGCTTCTTCGCATTCATTATCTCTTAAACAGCTCGTGCGCGAGCGCAGTCACACGGTGGATGATAGAGTGAGCGCATCTGCGCGCCGGTTTCGCGCGCGGCGCTCGAGCCATTGGAGCCGTTATCTATTACTGCCTCCTGTTTCGATCCGTTATCTCTACTCCCGTCTTGGGATAATACGGACGAACGCGGTGGCGCTTTACGATCGCGTTGTCCGATTACATTTATCGCGCCGGAGATATTGATTATATTAGATACCGAAGCAGTTGAATTTCACCGGATATGTAGGTAAGATTCAAATAAACGTGTCTTCCCTTTTTCTCTCTCTTTCTCTCTCTCTCTTTTTCTTTCGATTAACTCCTCCGCGCGATTATTTTCACTTGCTCCGCGCTTCGCGCCACGTGCTCTTCTGCATACGCGATTTAATTTCATTGAGCGTTGTAAAACGTAAAACACGTCAGTTTTATAAGATCCATCGGAATATTATCGAAGTGGAGCGCATGCAAGACTAATCGGAGAGAAACGCTTCGATTTTACATCGCTGAAGAAATATTTATTTCCAACACGACGTGCGCGCGATATATGACCATATTTTTTATATAAAGAAAAAACAAACGCCGAAAGGCACAAAACGTCCAATCAGTGTCCCACTTGCGGACACACTCCGAATAATCCGAATGTCAATATCTCCTTCGATATATACACGCGTTGTTTCTCTCTCTTCCTATATATAGGGTGGAGCGAACGAGCGATCGAAGCGAACGTACCTATCTAAGGAAAACTCTCGCAGGGTCGCGACACGATCGCGCACAGACACCTCTATATAGATATAGAACGGACACGATGGGAAATAGGAACTAGGTTGGGCCTCGGCGCGCAGCGATAGTGCCTCGCAGATACGGATGGTAATGAGAACCCGCGCTCTCGCGGGCTCGTGACTCGACCCGGTAACAACAATAGGGTTGGCACCGAGGGCACGACGAAAAGGACGGGATTTTTCAACGGCGCGCCGCGCAGAGTCCATCACGTGGCGCACACCGGACGCCGCGTTTGCTGCCGGTCACGTGCGTCGGAACCGCGTACGAGAAAAATTAAGTTGACAAAAGAACATACTTCGCAATATGTATTTTGAACATGAAAACGAAATTTTTAAGCAAGTTTTGTGTTATATAATTGTTTTACATAATTTTTATGTATTAAACAAGCAAATCAATCTTTGCGAAATGATCGTGTGCGAATTTACATATTACTGTTTTTCAATGACGAATCCGTGGACGAGATTTTGTTGGATAAGATTGGGAATTTTTATTCAAATAAAATTGATCGGTTCGGGAAGAAGACTTTAGAGTCTCCTGAGCACGTGCGCGACGAGTTCCCCGCACGACGGGAACTCGGTCACCCGGAACTACGTAAAAGCGACCGTGTTCCCCGTCACCGAGCCGAGATACATGTTCGCGGTATTATGTCGTTCCCCCGGTTCTGACACGACTTTAGAGCGCCGTCGTCCGCAAGGCGTCGGCATCCGGACGACGAGATCCACTCGGGGGTCGATATCCGTGAGAATCTCAGTCGCAAATCCGCGTATAGAATCGCGGAAGCGAATGCACAGCAGATTTCTTGCTTCGTTGGTATTGTCCCGTTGTCAGCCCGAGCTTCCTTTCAATATCTGAATGCGGAGACTATTACGGTCAAGAATCGTCGGCGATATCTCGCGCGTGCCGACACATTCGCGCGAAACTTCTCGTTTGTTTCGCGTTACCGCGAATAGCAAAAGCTTCGCGCATACAATAGTTAATATCGGCAGATCGCAGTGTTTCCATCGGTATATATACTATGCCAGTATATATACTTTGTACGAGTATCGCGACTCTAACAAGAGCCCGCGAACAAAATGCGTCAATCTCTTCATCAATTTACATTCCCCTATTGTTGTTACCTCCATTCAAGCGCGCAACGACGAGGAATGCGAGTTGGGAATCAGAAGCAGAATCAAGATTAGAAGTTCAATGTTGAAAGTGTTGGGAACCAGAGAAACCGAAGAGCTGAAGGTTAATAATCGACAGACAGATTTCACTGAACTCTATTTTTTTCAACAGTTAATTTATTTAAATTATTTTATTAATTTTGTTTATTTTATAATTATAAATAGAATGTTCTCTCTTGTCTCTTTTATTTCTTAAAGCTTCGCGCAGCTTTAATCTTCGCGGATTATGCTGACCGCGATTTTCCAGCACGACACGACGCTCGTTTGCGATGACGGTTACATGGCACTGATCGACGTGGTTATCGATCATCGGGTTCCGGAGCGACTGAAATACGCTTATATCTTCGGCACGAATAAAGATATGCGGGTCCAACCTCCGCTCGATCGGGCTACGCATAAATTTCACGACGGGTTTCAGTTGAGGCGACGCGAGAGGAAGGACTTCCTCCGACTTTCATTGCTGCTATCATCCCGCCCTTCATCCTCACCTGCGATTACTTAAAACGCTCGAGGCGAAGCACGTCGCGCGGCTACTGTGCACCATGACCCGTATTTTCGCGATATCCTTGATGCCGCTGTTCCATTATTAATGTCGCAACTGACTTGTCTTAAGGGATTCTTCTACGATATTTTCGAGATACAGTATTCGCCGATTATATTCGTCGTTTGTTACGCCGAGAGTAAGAGAGAGATATATATATCATATCTGTGTTTCCTTATTCGTTTTCATTCGCGTCGTTACAGTGAATATTTTGCAGACAGTCGCGGCATAATTTTTTCCCCGAGCCGCACTCGTCACGCAGCGGCGGCAAAGGCAAAGAGGCCTCTCGCGAGATAGGTCCGATCACGATTTGCTCGGAAGCATGCACTCTATAAACGGCGCATATCGTAACTCGCAACCCGGATCCCACGATAAATCCGAGCCGAGTCCACAACCGTGAACGCGGTCGCTTGTGTCGAGGCGCCTGTATCGGCGGGATAATCGGCAACGATAAATTAGCGCGGCGATCTAAAGGTTTCGCTTTCTGATTTACGGCTCGGTTTCGAGCGCGTGCCGCGAGAATCGATAGTCTCTTTCTTTTCTCCGTGTTTGCGCGGATCTCCTTCCGATCGTCGCCCAAGTCGATGCTGTCATCCGCGGATGCGCAAGCGTATTAGGAAGGCGTACCATACATATACGTACGCCCATTATGCGTAATGCGGCTTTGGGTGCTCCGTGACGAGAGGGAGACGAGAAGAAGTGGCACGAAGGAAGAGGGGTGCCCGGTCGACTTCCGGTTGAGTCACAGAGGCTTTGCAACTGCAGGAGACGCAGGGCGCGCGTGGGTAACGAAAGGCGCACACGCGGTTATTTTTTTCACGTCGCCGCGATGTGTGACGCTTTGGCAACCTTTGAATTTCAATGAGATGCTCGTCGTCTCTACATCTTCATTTTGTGTAAGTCCCCTTTCGGGACACTTGTACGCGTTATACGTACTTGGGCATACGAATACGTTGGAAGAGAAAAAAAAAATAAATACACTGAGGAACCGTACGTAAGGTGTTTGTTTTTTTTTTCTCGTCAGTGTGTTAATTTTTACATAATAAATCAAGAATTTTAATATCTCTTTAAAATAAATAATTTTCGAATACTTTGTCGAGTGGATAAAATTTCTAGATTCTAATCCTACCCTAAATCTTTTTGTGGGGAAAAAACACGTCGTGTAAATCTGCTCGTCAAACAACTCGAACGAGCAAACATTTTTACGACGCGTCTTGAAGAGAAACGGCCGAACGAATTTCAACGTCGTCTTTAGAGGCTTATTAAACGTTTTTTTTTCTTTTACGACCTCACGCCTCACGGCGAAAGAACGTCCGTTTCAAAGACCACGGTTTCAAAGACCACGATTAGATTTTGTTGAAATACAACGCCACTTACACGAGCGACAAACAAAACGCGTTACGTTTGAACTGTGTTTGAGACACGCGAATAATCGATAATGTGACAGATTATGTTTCACACGAACGAATCTGTAAATTCGCATTCCGGTGGAGAGAAAGTTCGAGTGTAACGTCAAAATTACACGGCGGCCAAAGAAAAGGAAAACAATTTTGCAAAATTGTGGCGCGTATAAATTACGTGCGTACAATAAGCGGGCGGATGAATGATTTCTCGCGCGCGCGCGCGCGCGCACCTACGGGAACACGCACAACACGTGTTTCCTCTATCCCTCGAGCATCACTAACATACATATTCGCGATTGGAGCAAGCGAATGAAACACAAGCCCTTTCATTGTCATTCATTGCTTATATCTGTGCCGAAGGCGCGCGATATAATATCGCGATTTTGCATGCACAGAGAACGCCTAAGATATATAGGACGTACGTTCAGTGAACCGAAATCGTTGTGTCGAGACACGTCGCGTGTGGATTTATTTGGTGTTAATTTACCACTACCGGAATGTCTCCCGACAGTTAAAAAAAAAATAAAAAAAAAAAAGAAAGAAATCGACGTATTTTAATCGACAACATAATTCAAGCAAGTCGCACGTAAATCACACGTACGTGTGCATCGCGCCTTGTCCTTTTGTGGCTAAATATACGTGTACACGCCCGAAGCTCGTTTACGTATCGCTCGTTTTTCTCGGGAGTCCGGTCGTGTCGCAATCTCTCAGGGTGGTCCACATCTTCGGATCCTTCGAGGTCGCGACGTCGCGAGACCACACTCGTTTTCGCACATTCCGCCTCGCTCCGAAACTCACTTGCATCCGCGCGCATATATACATATATCTCATGCGCGCGCTTTCCTTGATCGTTTGAAATATCGTGTACATACATATGTACATAAGCGTTTAATCATGTACACGCCGAGCAAACGTTCAATCACACGGTGAAAGCACGGCAAAAGCGACAATCGCAAGTGAATTAAATTACGTGGAATCATATTTGACAGTGTTTTCATTTGGCGCGCAGAGTCTTTCGGTTTCACAGCACGTATGTAGGTACGTGCGTTCCAATTACGATGTAACTAAGAATTAATGATCGCCGTCTCTTCTCGCGATTGCCGATAATATATATATATATATATATATATATATGTATATTATATCCGGAGATTGCGAATGGATGTTTATTAAAGAGAGATATACACACGCGCTGCAATTCGTACGATTAATCACGAAAAGTGCGACGTCAGAGCGAAGAATCGACGGTAGTTTCAGTGAAACGCTTTTTCAGCGTCTCGCCAGTGTTCGTTACGTGAAACGCCGCGCGGTAGCGTCAACGAAATTGCTACTTTCTGCGACGCTCGGTACACCGTGGCGGTTCTATTTTACGCATCAACTCGTATTCGTACCGTATTAGGAAACTAGCAGTTCAGAAAGGCGGTCACATACACACGCGTTTAGAATTAGATAGCGATCGGTCGATTTCCAAGTCCTACCGTAGGAGAATCGCGGATCGCCGCGTTGCTCCTTTCGTCATTTTGCTCCTTCTCTCATTTATATATTAAATAAAACAATTTTTCTAATACTACCAAATGTAAGCTAGTCTCGAATTTCCAATCCGATTATTCGTAAAAAATTCACAAGATGTATCGATCTTGTATAAAATATTGTTTTATATCAAGTCAGAGAAACACAAGTAACTTTTGAAACAAATAAACGTTTGCGTTTCAGACAAATCGTACAAAAGACCAACTTCTTATTCTTCGATCGAATCGATTCGGGAGAAAACTTTTACGAGGTTATTTGTTGGACACACGTTCGGCGAAGCCACAGTTTCGCAGTCCTCTCGTGTCGATCTAATAAGTCGCGGAAAACTTTCACTTATTCCAAACACTTCCGAAGTTTAATACCAATGAGATATGTTCTGCCTCCAATATTTGTACGCGGATATTTCGTTATCAACAAACATGCACAGTAACGGACTGTGGCAATTATTGATTCCATCTGTCGGTACAGCTGTTTTGACGTCGTTTCTGACTTACATCTGTTTTTTTTTTTTTTTTGACGCGCCAGTCATCCTTCACTTGCGCGAACTCTTGTCAAGCGGATTTGCGGAGCCATAAAAGTTTTTTTTATCAATTGGCGCGCGTTATTCTCGATATTGCATTGTTTTTTTGGTTCGTCAAATGTACGCGCTCATATTCGCCCAACTTTACGCATATGGCGCTAAAGTTGTTTTTTTGTTTGCACAACGCTTGTCTCCCGACGAAAACGCGACGAGCGTAAAGGCGAAATATTATGAATATCCTTTCCCACGTCGCGCGCCAGATGCCAGAGAGAGCCTTTGTGCGGTTCTCTTTATGTGTCCAAAGCTGCGTAAGGTCTGTACGCGCACGCCACATCTCGTGGCACGATATTACGCCGACTCTCTTTAAGGCGACATCGTGTAGAAAAAAAATGCGAAAAAAGGCATTGATCGAGAACGGCGCGAAAGTCCGGTCGTTACCACGACATTACGCCACGTCGATTTCTTTTCGCATCGCGCAGCGCTCGAGTCAAACGGAAAAACTGGTGGAAACTCTAATGTGTCTTACGTAACGCAAGTGTCCGTAATTTAAATTTCTCAAAAGTTTACGTGAAAAATAAAGTTCGAAAATACGGCAAAGCAAATGACGAAACACATTTACTTTCAAAGTTATTATTTGTTCTGTTTTTCTTAAACCACGCGACGTCGAAGTAATGCATTTTGATGATGAGCGCGACGTTAATGAATATCTAGCTTTATGATTGTCACAGTTTCGTCGGTGATTACTGCAAAACGTCGAGTTCTCTTGACAATTTCGCGTGGCGAATATAAAAGTCTCGAAGAAAACACGCGATGCACCATGCGCGGCTCGCGTGAGGCTATAATACCAGCTTCGAGATGACAAAGTCGCAAACGCGAAACCCATTACTTCGGACGGAAGCAATTCGAGAAAGAGCTTTTATTTCGCATTCCACCGAAAAGCTCGGAACATCGTCTGGCTTATCACGTCGCGAGCTGCGCGCTCGCGAACCTTTTATCGACTTTCGTCATAAATCAGCCGGACTGAAAATATAGCCAACGGCTGTGTTATAGAAATTTCTCACGGAAAAAACATACAATACATATATTCGCCGACATTGACGATAAATTGGTTCATCAAAAGTTTGTTTTTCGTCGATGTATAAAGCTCATCTTGCGTAAACGTACGTATCTATCTATAAAGAAAAAATCCGTTTTATTATATACATACGTATAATACACTTACTTAACGTCTTGTTGATCCAATCCGCCAAGTCCTCTTGAAGCGGTATCAGCTGGCGGCTCTGCGCCGAGTGCAGTCGCTCGTGATAAAACTCGAATTCTTCCTCTTCCGGTGACGGTCGCGGCACGTCGGTGCGATTGAAGACGGAGACCGAGGACGGTCCCCAGCTACTGCGATAACGGGTGTGCTGGGAGGACGGGAATCGATTGGCGTACGACATTCTGGAGCCGGCGGTTCTGGCACCGCACGTGCGTTGTTCACTCGACGACGACGACGCTTCTCTCCTCCTTGCTCGCACCGGGTCCTCTTCCAGGACCCACGTCACTTTCTTCGGCAGTTCCCAAGCTATTCGAGTGCGGCGTCGTGTAGAGACACGTGCGGCGTCGCGATCAAGTGGCGCCTGGAAAGCGGAAAAAAGAAATGAAGTTGCGAAGTCGCTTTCGAAAACTGAACGCGCCTGTATACATGTATGATATATATATATATATATATATATATATATGCAAGTACCATAAAAGCCGATTAAAGACTCAGCTTTGATAAGACATAAAATTCTTTTTAAAAGATCGAAGAAAACAAGACACCGAGAAGAGACGGAGAACAGAAATGCGTATTTACACGAAACTTTTGTTATAAATACTCTGCAGGAAAGCCGTAACGAAACCGAGGAAGTGTCCTCTTTCAAGGAGTCCGTTTCTCAAGAGTCTCTGGCTGTTGTTTATCGTCAAGCTGTCAAGACTCAGACTTAGGAATCAGGATCGCACATGGCTACGGATCGTAAAACCGCAGAAATATATTTGTCGTCGTAAGAAAAATCGTCGGAAATAAATCAGAAGAAGACGAAAACGCGCATATAGTTGAAAAATTTATATATAGTTTTTTTTTTTTTTTTCACGCGTCTGTCTGTGCGAATACGAACAAGAGATTTTCTCGGTAGTGTCTAGGTACACGCGTCTGCTGTTATTATCGTGCGCTTCCATTCTGTGCGAAGGGGATCGCATAATGGGATACAAGAGGTCGGATAATTAAAGAAGAACAAAGTCAGTATGAAGAGCGAGTATCGAATCACGAGCACTTATGTCTACCGCGGCTAGTAAGAGAGACGTCGCACACGATACGACGTGAATATCACTCCAGACTTCGTGGAGCACGTGTGACGTCTACTCAAACGGGGTTAACGTATAAGTTTTCTTGCCCACGAGCGAACGTAATAATATCGCTTCGGGACGGGAAACAATTAACACTCACGCACCAATAATTAATTAGGTGCTTCTCCGTTTTCTTCGCGGCGGGCAAGAAAACATTTCTTGTTGCGATACGGTAATGCCTCCAATTACACGTATACGTCTTCTCGAAGCCGCGGTTTCCAACGAAATCAAGTTGATATTCAAGTTTCGTCGACACGTGTCACGAACTTAGAAGAGAGCTTGGGAGAGAGCTACAATTCACACAAACTTCTCAAGTCACATATACATATACATGTTTCATATCACGTATATGTCTTTCGCATAACAGAGGAGGGGGGGGGAACCCGAGGATCATAATTATATTTATCACGCCACCAATGTCAAAACGCTGATGTAAGAAGAACTACGCATCTTTGCAGCTCTGGATCGAGAAAACAAATCACCATCCAACGCTATGCTCACGGACAAACCTACGAGCGTCCTTCGACATTGATACGTCGATGTTTCTTCACGCGCAACCGTGTCTATTACCGTAACATAATATATTACACCGCGTCGATGTGCGTGCGCGCGGTTGAATTTTTTTTTTTTTTTTTTTTTAATCAAATTTATGTGCGTATTAAGACAACAACTCGAGCAGAGAAGAGAGAGAGAGAGAGAGACGGATGACTTTCTTACTGAAATTTCCAACAGCGAAACGAATGGCCGGCACGAGCGCGTCTAGTTTGCGAAACCGGTGAAACTCGACGACACGTTCGATCGACAGATGAAACTGTCATCGCGATGCAGTTCGCGGTCAGTACGTGTGCACGTGGGCGCGAAATATCCTCTCACATAAGTTACAACGGACATCCTCATAAATCTACGCGGACTTGCTGATCGATCGACGAATCAATTTCTCACGGTTAATAGTATCGTTGTTGTTGTTGTTGTTGTTGTTGCTTTGCGCTCAACAAGACAAGATTTCAAACTTCTATTTCCAATTGTGAGACAAACATCGCCATCGTTCAATTTCTGTGCCAAATATATGTATCATATATAGACACATATGTATCATTGCTGGGTCGATTAATTTGCTCAGTAATTTTTTTTATTAAATAATACTGTTACTAATATTACTGTTCTCTGAAGGAATAGTTTTAGCGTTACGCGATCACATTCCCATATCCCCGCAGCGTCTTCCGCACTTCAAAGTCTTTATTAGCGTCTGTCGAACGGTTCGATTCCACTCTGAGTGTCAGATTTATTAATCGTGCACAAATAAACGAAGGCGCGATTTTTCTTCAACGACGTACATAACAATGCGAGGTGCTCAAACAAGAAAGAAAGAGAAAGAGAGAGACCGCGTATAGCGGTCTGCGTTACAGACGCTGAGCATCTCGAGTTCCTTAAAGTCGAACGCGCGCGTCTGCTTTACGATGAGGCGTCGGCGGCCGGCGAGGAAATAACACGCACACACACGATTGTTATCCTTGACTAAGGATCTCCACGCGCGTCCATATAGAGAAAGAGACTCGCTGTCAAACACGAACGAGTTTATCTTCCTGGATAGGACGTTTCTTCTCTCTTTTGAGCGCGATACACGCGCTAATTTCGAGTTGTCACGTCAAACGGTGCGCAACCATCTCGGCTTCTTTCGGCGCCTCACAAACCCGTCGTTCACGCAGGCGGTATTGTAAACGTTGACGTGTGAGTAAACGCGGCCGCGCCGAATGACTTACGAGTTGACACTCTCGCGGGACACTCCGACGACGTGTGTGGTGTTAATATATATACAAAATAAATTAACTCTAACAATGTGATTAAGTGTTTTGTTTGTCATTAGGTGAACAATGGAAGACGTATGGCATTACAATATGCGTTACAACAATCGCGCGACGCGTTAAAAAGATGAATCGATTAGGTTGTATAATTAAGATACTTCTCTTCTCTTGCTCGCGCGCGCGCGCAAAAAAAAAAGAAAAAAATACAGATGACGACCCATACGCGAGCGTCATTAGTCAATCTTTTATTTTTCGCTGTATACGTAACGGTTCGCCCACGGGATGACATAACTTCATCATTTTATATACGTTTTTGACCTCTGCATTAATTTGTGTAGACACGGTGTTGCGCTGCTCTCTCAATATATATATATATATATATATATCCAGTGGCTGAGAAGTAATTACGTAGTTATTACAAGCGTAAACGCGCGCGAGCACACGCTTACACTTCACGCCTACAGACAAAAATTACCATCTCGACGAGAGCGGCACAGCTGTACCGATACCGCTTCTCGTTCAAGTCGCAATAATTGCGACTACGGAAATTTAATACGCGCAATGCGCTTTGTATAAGTTTATTCTGATAACGAAATCGCTCGAGTTTTTGCGATGCGATGCTCGACGAGAGATTGCATTTTAATTGATGCGCACGCGCGAACCGTGAGAAACATTTGCTGATATCGCATCGAAATTGAAGTTTCATCGCGGTTACGCGCCAGACGTTGCCTCGTTGCAACGCGCGGTGATATAATACCGTCCTCACGCGAAAACTTTGTTTATCCTTCACGCCGAAGTAGCGCAAAGTAGCCGAGTGTGTGTGTGTGTGTGTGTTCTCCACGCACGTTTTCCATCTCGGCTTTCATAATAAATTTCTATAATACGTCATTATATAGATACAATCTTCTGATAGTTATGCCATCGATACAGCGCAAGAACAAAGCAATGGGACGACTTAGTCAAATGGAAGGAGGCTAATAAAATGATAAGCGCTCGGCACGGGCCATTACCCGAGTCGGAAAAATCGAAGCGCATTATGCGCCAGAGTCCGTGTCCGAAGTCAACGACCTAGTCCGACAATCGGGCTTAATCGGAGGATGAGCGGCGAATTGGATCGCCATTAGATCGCATAATGCAAAGCGCGCGCATTGACCGCGTGGCAAAAGCTCGGAGCGTCCCATCATAACGCGCGTCCGGCTCGTAAACGCGAGCGCGTGGGCGTCCGCTCATTACGACGCGAGACACGTGTAATACACTGACGTCGCGTGACAAACGCTCGACGCGACGATGGTCCTCGAGATCTCGCGAACACCCGAGAACGTACTTACTACGGTGTGGATCCACATAATGCGAACAGTTATTTCGCCTCGGTAAGTTTTGCAACGCGCGTCCGTCGAGTTCTGTTCTCGACACGCCGCGATACCGTATTATCATTTTTCTAATAAATTATTTATATGAGAACGTGGGACTAATGATCCGTTAATCTAGATATTTGTCAATACAGTCATTTATCAAAAGTCATTTGACAGGAATGTTTTCGATCAGAGAATGTTAAGCAAAGGCAATTAAATAAAATAATTAATACATTCCTTAATTTGCATTTAATGATTGATTCTTGTCATTTTGTCTTTGTAGCGATAAAGTGACGATATTAACACTTTGTAAAAAAAATTATCACAACAGCACAACGCACGTATGCAACATTGCTGTAATTGTTTGAAACGGGGTTGTTTGCTTGATCGCGTTCATCTCGAGCTACAGTTCCGACATGATTTACGCGCACAACTTGCATACGTACGAAGAGTTTACACGGAAAGAGAAAGAGATTTGCCGGGTCAGCTCCGGCACGTTTCTCTAGTCGTTTTACTTTTTGTACACGCGGCAAGTTTGCACGTAGGTGGTCGTTACGCGAGAACGTACTGCAATAAAATGTTCCTTAAAAGGAGCCGATAAAGTCGCGGTCACCCGCATCACCGACGGAAAAGAAAAAAAAGTAGCGATATCATCGGGTTACAAAAATTTCGTACGACTGTATATATACATCGCCGTACGGCCGAAAAGAAAACGGGCACTTTATGCACGAATTACCACTATTCCGTTATTCGCATGGGCTTCCCATCTCTGAATAAAGAAGTTGAAATGTACGAGCACATAAAACATATATAATACATAGTATAGTAAACATGTCTTTTCGTCACGCGTGACATACGAAATAATAACTCGTTTCTGTCGGTGCGAATAACGGAAGAGTAATAACTCCATGTATCGAGATCAACAACAGTGTTCTTTTTTTTTTTTTTTGGCACGTACGTAATGAAAATCGATATCCGATATTTAATTCTCGCTCTTCCCGATCATTTTTCCTAACTATTTCCGTTAAGAGCGTCGAACTCTAAAACAACGCGATAACGTTCGATTTATATCCCTAACGCACAGGATACGTACACGCG